TTTCCTCCAACAATAGCAACAGTCAAGCTTCTTCCTCCCTTTCATGCTCCCCTCTAAACAAGACTGCAGTTTCTTTCTCTCTTTCATTACTCCCCAGACCTAGGATGTAACTGCATGGCAGAATGGGGTTGGACTAGATAGCCCTTGAGGTCTCTTCCAACTCTATAATTCTATAATCTTGGAAACTAAGCAAGGTCAGGACTTGTTAGCACTTGGATGGGAAACAGGCAATGAATACCTGGCTCTTGTGGTCTCTTCCAACTGTATAATTCTGAGTCTAAGCATTCTCCTCTGTAGTCCTTCTCAAAATGGTGACTGGAAGTCATGGGAAGTCACTTCTTGCTGAGAAGTTCTGCAGAGGTGCAGAGAGATGCCTGCTGTGTCAAAGTACAACTTGGGGGGGGGTCTGGACAGGGAAATTGACCTCTGCCCCCCCACACACACACATACACAAACAGTTGCCCACCCCTGCTATAAAGAATACTAGCCAAAGTGCTAGGCCTTTTTTTTTTAATATTTTATTTTATTTAATTTTTTATACAATGTTAAAAAGAAACACAACATAACAAATGCATTACTTCTCAGAAGGAGTTCCCAATTGTTTAACTTAAGAGGAGTATTACAATTGTATATCTAAATTTCCATTTACATAAATTCTACAAAGAACCTGATGCTTTATAAGGGCGTTAATTAACGTAAAAATGTATAAAGAGCTGTTAGGCAGAATAACATTTCTTATACATTCTTCCTAGACTAAATATGTGGAAGGGGAAGAAAGATAGGAGAAAGAAGATAGGGGAGAGCGCATGAGGTTTACAAAGGAATAAAAGTGATTATAAGACAACGTTTATTTTTTAACAAGACCATAAGTTTTCTACTTTCTTCCATTTATCCCTAAATTTGTCCTCCGTTTGGTTTTTTAACGTCATTGTCAATTTGTCCAGGAGAAAAACATATGATTTCTAGACTCTAAAAACTAATAATGGATATTGACTTAAAAGAAGAAACGATAAAAACTTCAATGATCAAATGGATGCAGGATTTTGGAGAAAACATTGAATTAGCAACTTGGGAAAAAGTGTGGCTTAAAAATTTAAAATTCCCAAAGTGCTAGGCCTATTTTGAGGTAGTTCTCAGCATCTTGGATGTCTCATTTAAAGTTCAGAGTAAAACCCAGAATGGATTCCATGCCCGATTCACATGGCAGCCATCAACTTAACAGGCAGCAATTCTTGTATTGCCCCTTTTCAAACAGCACTGTTTCACATTGCTGTATTCCCAAAGTGCATTCTGAGTAAAGCTCAGAATGCTTACTGTGTGGCCCCAAGGAATGGTACTTCACTGGAGGTATGTAGGCAGCAGAAGCCTGCTTCAATATCTCAACTGAAGCTTATAATGTGAAGAGCAATGCCGTATTTACACACAATCCAAGTAAGCTGCAGTTCAGTGTTTCAGATGATTAAAGGCTGCTAAATACAAAACAATTATGAATCATCATGTTTTACATAATTAAGGTGGTAGTGGTAGTGGTGGTGGTGGTGGTTCCATGCCTTCAAGTCATTTCCAGCTTATGGTGACCCTAAGGTGAACCTATCATGGGGTTTTGTTGCCATGTTTCTTCAGAGGGGGTTTGACACTGCCATCCTCTGAGGCTAAGGAAGCGTGACTTGCCCAATGTCACCCAGTTGGTTTATATGGCCAAGCCAGGATTTCCAGAGTCATAGTCCAACACTGTGGAACCCTGGTTTCCAGAATCATAGTCCAACATTCAAACCACAACACTACGGACGTTATCACACGGGGGCAAATCTGCTGGTTAATCCACACAAAACCCAAACAGAAACTGGATTAGTGCCCCGTGTTTTCACACGACGTCGCACAGAAACTGGACAGAAAGTGGACAGAAACTAGTGTTAACAGAGATCTTTTGAAATTCAGTTGTTTGGAGGAAATGCAAATGCGCAATTAAGGTAATTTTGCATTTACCGTAATGTGAAAAGCAAATGCGCATTTGGGAGCATTTCCCTGCTTTTCCCATGGTTCCAGCGAACATTCCTCTATCTGCGCATGTGCAAGAAGTTCATTTCTAGTACATTTACGGGCTTTTCTCACTTGTGTGTGAATGTTAAATGCGCTTACTTTAATTTTGCAATTAAGGTAATTCCATTTGCGGAATCAAGGTTTATTTTCAGTTTATTTTCGGAATGCCTCGTTTCCACTTTATTATCGCTTTCTGGCCCACGTGTGATAACGTCCTACACTGGCTCTATTGTTGTTGTTGTTTTTAGGACATAGGAAATAGACTGTCAAATAAATACCGTACTTGCTGGGGCTGCATGGGCCAGAATACTCTGGGCTGCTCCTGGAGTATTCTGGCCCCTCAGTTGCCCTGACACACCCTGTTACTTGGGCAATCTGTGGTGATGCTAAGCAGCTGTTTGTACTTGTGTCCCACTGTGCCACCTGGCTCTGGCACCACTGCCATGCTTCATTCGCTCTAAGGTCAGAACAAGGCACCCAGCATCTGTCAGAGTGAGCGATGTGTGCCAGCATCAGCAGCACAGGGTGGCACAACAGGTAATGTTGTAAACAGCCACCTGGCTTCACAATGGAGAGCTCCAGATCTTCCAGGATCCAGAATGAGGCACCTAGTGATGATCGATGCTGTGCACATTGTTCTGACCTCAGCGTGAGTGACTCACACCAATGGTGACGGTGCTCACTGGCACAGTGGGCGCACATGTGAACAGCCACCCAGTGTCACAACAGAGCACTCAAGGTAACGGGGGCGACATTGGACCAGCTCCAGGACCAGAATATGCCAGGCTGCTCCCAGAGTATTCTGGCCCATGCGAACCAAGCCATAGTTTCAAAATGTCCATATGGAGAGCCAGCATAGAGTAGTGGTTTAAGCATTGGATTAGGACTCTGGAGACCAGGATTCAAATCCCTGCTCAGCCATTGAAACCTACTAGGTGACTTTGTGAAATTCATCTCTCCATCTCAGTGGAAGGCAAAGGCAAATTGTGCCAAAAAAAAAAAAACAACCCTCTGGTAGATTTATTTTAGGAATGCCATAAGTCAGAAGTGACTTCAAGGCACACAGCAACATGAGAACAGGGCTGTTTCTCTTGTGTTGCTGGTAGATGAGGCTTTCTGTTTAAAGCACAACAGAACAGTTCCATTCTGGCCTCTTTGAGGTAGGAATAGTACCCAAGACTTGTGCTCTGAAACTGATTAAAATAATAAATGTGTTCCACTTCCGCAAGGTCTGTGTAAGCAACTGCCTGCTGAAGTAATAAAGCAGCTCTTTATGACACTATCAAAAGGCAGCCCTTTGCCAAGGATGTAGGGAATATAAATCGAACGCCGTCAATCAATTTAACAAATCAAGATTCAGCTCTCACCTAGTGTCAGAGGGCTGTTGTTCTATTTATCTCCCTCGCTTCACCTTCCTTTGCTGTTTAAAGAATGGATTTGTTGTACATCGGATTCCTGTTACCAGCTTGTCAACCTCCAGCAGATAACAGTTAGGAAAAATCTTTCTCAATGTGACAGGTTGTTCATTAGCTGTCTATCTTCAATTTTGTGTATCGCTATCGGAACTAACCCCACTTGGAGCTCAATGGAATCGATAGCAGAGATCCATCATGGACAATTAAATAGGGTTCTCAGGCTGAATATGGGGCAGAGTTTCTACAGCTTCAATCGTGGGCATATCATGGAAAAGGAAGACCTACCCTAAAGTTCAGGTAGGGAGAACTATTGCAGGCCTCCTTCTTCACCTGCCAAACCCCACCTTGCAGCCCTCCCAATCCAGCTATTTACTGGCCATTGGAAAACAGTGATTGATAGTGGAGGAATGCCCAGGTTCCTTTAGCTGGACTCACACAATGGGGTAGTTTTAACCAGACCTTGGGAAGATCTCCCAGCCAGTATGGTCATGTTGACTTGGAAGTGCAGCTACACTAGAAATAAGGCAGTTTGACACCACTTTAAGTGCTATAGCTCCATCTTATGGAATCCTGGGATTTGTGATTTTACAAGGTCTTTAGTCATCTCTGCCAAAGAGTACTTGTGTCATACAAAACTACAAATCCCAGGATTCTGTAGGCTGGAGCCATGGCAGTTAAAGTGTGTCAAATTGCATGATTTCTACAGTGTCCATGCACCCTGGGACATTCTGGAAGTTATAGTCCATAAGGGCAACCTTCTGATATGATGGTTTGTATTTTTACTGGTCTATGCTCAAATTTTGCCTTTTAAAATGAAATGGGTTTGTAAATGCTTGATTGGGGGCCAGTGGTAATATTTTCTTACAGGACTGGGAGGGCACTATTAAATTATAACTGAAATCAATCTGTTAAAAAAAACACAAAACACCTGGCATCTCCAAACACCAGAAGTTGATGAATACATAAAGTTTAATCCGTTGCACTTTTTATTTTTGCATGGAGGGAGAGATTTGTCTGGTTCTCTCCTGTCTTCTGGCAAATGTCCAGGCAGCTTTGTTAAATGGAAAGCCTGCTGAGCAGTCAATCTGTCCACCTTCCTCTGGCTGTTATCGATGAAGCTTTAAAGTGAGATGGATGCAGTACAAAATTCAGGGCTAGTTGTACTGTGACGGTTACAACTTTATGATGTGTTTTTAGAAATGTCAGTCTTCATAAAGTTCATTCTGGTTGGCAAGAATGAAAAATGTAATTATTTTTCTCCCCACTGTGCAGCTTTTGAGGACTATTCGTAATTTGGAACCTATTTTGTGCAACAACAACAAAAAGCATGAGAGCTTTTTTGCACAGAAAACAGCAATAGTACCATCCTCTATATTTCAACTGGCTGTAGTTGGAGGATCTTGGGCTCCAGTAAAAACAAAGAAAAAAAGAACTGGATTCCAAGCTTTCTAAAGACACACACACACACACACACACACACAAGATCAGTACTAAATGACTGTGTATTGATGGTAGGGTGGATTGATTCAAATCACGGATAATGCAGCCAGTGTGGCATAGTGGTTTGAATGTTGGACTATGACTCTAGAGACCATGGTTCAATTCCTAGCTCTGCCATGAAATCCACTAGGTGACCTTGGGCAAGTCACATGCTCTCAGCCTCAGAGGAAGGCAATGGCAAACTCCCTCTGAACAACTCTTGTCAAGAAAACTCCATGATAGGTTTGCCACAGGGTCGCCATAAGTCGGAAATGACTTGGAGTCACATAACTGCTACAAAAGCAAAGCGTGGACTATGGGCCATCTACAACCACCCAGGGCTATTTTTGTGGCTCCCAGGGCCCATAATTGCTCCAAAATGTAATGTAGGTGGCATTTATATCACATTTTAGACTACTGTGTGTGCGTGCTATGTTCCTTCAAGTCATTTATGACTTATGAAGACTCTAAGTGTGACTTATGGAGACTCTAAGGCGAACGTATCATGAGGTTTTCTTGGCAAGATCTTTCAAGGAGATTTACCATTGCCTTTCTCTGAGGCTGAGAGAGTGTGACTTGCCCTGTTAAGACCCAGGAGAACCCTTTTTTAAAAAAACAAAACAGGAAGTGGAAAGGAATTGATGTCTGGTCACTTTTTTGTTGCTAAAAACAGGTCTCTCCTGGGCTTGAATGTACTCGGGGGAACTATAAGAAGGTTAAAATGCCCCCCACAATCACTAGAAAGGGATGGATGCAAAAAACAATGAATTTGTGGAGATGAGGTACTGTACTCCAAGTTCTCCTGGGGTGCTAATACCTGTATTACTAACCTGCCACAGTTGTCCACCCATGATTAAAACTAAAGTGATAAAAATTATTGTTTTGTATCAGGAAGGAGGGGAAAAGAGCAGTTTAAATCATTGATTTCAATTAAATTTGTCCCTGATACAGCTTTATATATTTCCTGGATAAAGCTGCAGATACAGCCATCAAACCATGTTAATTTACAACCAAATCAAGCATTATTATTTACATTACTTAATTTTTAATATCAGTCCAGGGATGGTCCTACAATAAAACTCACTGACTAGTCATCGGACCTTATCACACACGGGGCTCAAAGCGGCAAGAAAGCGATATAAGAATCAATCCAGAACTATACCGGTAGAAACCCCACAATACGGAAATGGCTATCAGACGCAACTAGCATCATCGCGCAATTAACGAAACCGCGATAGATGCGCTCCTGGGAACCGTATCTGCCGTTCACACACAAGTGAGAAGATCCCTTCCAGAACCCGGCAAGGATGTTCTTGCACATGCATAGAAACAGGACAGCTGCGGCTGTCACTTGCCACAGCTGTCACACACACACACCCCTTTCCAAGCTGGCACAGGGTTGGAAAGGGGTGTGTGTGACAGCAACCCTTG